TTAAAATGAAATAAATCTTTTGTAAAGAAATCAGAGATTTTGGCTTTTAAATTAGCTCAATTAGATGTATACATAAAAGGATATTATTTTCATAAAATGACTTATAATATAAAGATCAAATGTGCTGATGTTTATACCAGTTATCAGTTATCGACATTTCGACAAGTTATGTAATGACGGTCATCATTACAGAAGATTAACTGAATAATAGGCGTGTAACAAACCAACATGATGTAGGTAGAGAGCGTGTAACACTTTAATTCTTTCTCTCTTACATCCTCTTCCTTGTATCTGAGGGTTCAAGCGGTCCATGAAATATTTGCCGGTTCTCTTCGGGCCCTTCTTCGGCAGACATAACGGTACAACGCAGAGTATTACGCTCTCAAAGAAAGAATAAAAATTCGTTTACGACCTGGATATACCTATACGTATCTTTCGCCGATGTACCGGTTATCTCGACGACAGTGGCGGATTCTAACTTCTGTACTCATTCTTTAGTTTTATCCTTCTGAACAGCGTATCTGATCACTTTATATCTAAGAATTTTTAACAAATTCGAGATAAAACGTGTACTTTAATGTTTCTTAAAATTTTTGAACATGTCTAAAGTTTAATATTATGTTTCTCGGTACATTATTAATTGATATCTACTAAAGTATTTCTATAAATATAATAGCAGAATATCATACTTTTAAATATAATTTGAGAACTATATAAAATTTATTTTTTTAGTCACGTTGCAAATAATGAATTAAAATTCTAAATTGAAATTTGAAATTCTAAACTTTGATGCACATACACAAATGTTAAAAACATTTTTAAGTAGTATGTACTTTTATTTATTAAATAATTTTATTACTAATTTATTTAAGAACATTTAATTTTCCAAAAATTACTTCATGCATGTAATTTATTGTTATATTTTTATCGATTTTTTTATTTTACGCACTCACTAAAATTATATTATAATATACATTCTAATTGTAGAAAACATTCTAATCTCTTTCTTTCGCTTTCTATCTTATTTTCATAAATTTTTATTTAGTTATTATTAAAATTATTAATTACAATGACATAACTACAGAGAAAAGAAGAGAATACATATTATCAAAAATATAATAGTTCTGACATTAATAATTGAAGGATTTACTGCGACAGTAAGTAGATTAATCACTTTTTTCTGTCTCTTTAACTTTTTACTTTGTTTTCTCTATTTTTACAAAATACAGATTAGCCCACATTGCAATAAGCTCTTTAATGAAATAATACATTTAATGAATAATACGTTTTAACGACTCATTTTACGTGTAACAGCTATCGAAATTATGCGAGATTATTTTCCTTTACCCTTGCCTCACTTTTTAGAGATAGATTAATTTTACGGGTCATAGTCTTTCTGCTATTTCACTTAACGTCACGGAAATGTACGATGAAGTGCTCTGTTTTATGAGAAACAGATCACCCGCGTGGACAGAAAATCATGAACCGTTTCACATTTTTTTTCTTTCTCACTATTGAATGGTAATGGAGAGTTACGATTGCAATTTATGGGCGGCGTTACACTTCGGAGACTTTGAAATTTCGATTTTATGGCCATGCGGCTTATCGCCCACCACCGGCAATGGACTGCGAAGTGCACCGCCACTGCCATCATCATGCGATCAAATACCATAAAGAAAGAGATGTAAATCAAGAGAGATACGTTTTTCTAGAAGGCTTTGAGAACTGCATTGTTGCAATCGAGCCTACCGTGAGATTATTCGAATTCAGCGTAATGTATCATCGATAACCAATTCTATGTCATCGATTAATATGACTGCATACGCTGCAGAAAAATTAACAAATTAGTCATCTCGCTCGGACTTGAAATGGACAACATTTAAATTATATCTCGATTACATACAGACTAAAAAATCATTAAAGTTCAAGCATC